CCCCCCCCCCCCCCCCCCCCCCCCCCCCCCCCCCCCAAAAAACACCCTAGCATTATTTAGGAAAAAAACCAATGCTATTCTCTGTGCTGGTACTAAACTTAGACTGTCTATAACTATTATTATCATACACTTATTGACTTGCAGGAACAAAAAACATAAACTGAAAAGATCTGCTTCTCTGTGAGATACCAAAATTGTTACAATCATACACACAAGCATAAGCTAAAATTATGTATTTATTTCCTTAAGGCCTCTAGTAGCACATAATACACGACCCCTCTGTATGAAAAGAGCATAAAAACAGTTTAAGAACAATGAAAATGTTCTACAACGGTTTTTGTTTTACACATACATTTTCCATACATCAGAATACAGACAATAATACATTTCTTAAATTATTACAGGTCAGCTATACTTACCAATAGCCATGAAATTCAGATTCTCATGGACAGTAAGACAGGACACAACCGTGGGCTTGTTACCTGGTATCGCTGGAAAAATTCGTGTGCAAAGAGGATTGCCACCATCTCGTTTTTCCAGATTCCATACTTTAACCTCAAAACAATAAATATTACATTAACAAAAAACAAAACAAAACATGAGATATTAGAAACAAACTACTTAATAATTAACTATAATACCAGTATCTTTTCCTTTGCCATTTAACTTACCAAAGGGTTAATGCCCTCTTCATCCTCACCAACAGAAACTAAGATGCTGTGCTGCTTCAGCTGGTATAGGTGCGTTACCCTTAACTTGTAAGCTTGGAAACCACTGAGTTGAAGTGAGCGAGGCAAAAACCAGATTCGACCTTCCATATGTACATCACAATTAAGGAATATAAAGGAAAAGGTAAAAATGAAGTGAAAAACAACCCTCACCACCACCCACACCTCTAAGAACACCAGAATCAAAATCTTAAAAGCTCCTTGTTGTTGACCTCTGGGAAGCCTACAGCAAATATATTTTTGCTGTCACCTATGAGAACCAAAACAGGTGACAACAGTTCTGTAACGTGCAAGGGGCAGAGAAGCCAAAGAAGCTGCCGCATACCCGACTCTGGAGCACTACTAGGCCCGCCTCGGAGCTCAGCCCGCGCCACAAAGCGCAGATCTCTCCTCGCGGCGCAGCCCACGAACCCGGTGCAGGCCAAATGGCCCGGCCCCATCACTCCTGCCGCCGCCGCAAAGGATATCTCCGAACACAAGGTTACCCCGGCCTGAATCACAGACCGTCATGCCCGGAGGCAACACGAAGGGCTTCCCACCAGCCCCCTCCGGCCCCGGCGGCTCCTTCACCATCTCTCTGTCGAAGAAGACAAAGCGGCGCCACTGCAGGTAGGCGGCCATGTTGGTCGAGCTCCTCACGTGACCAACTTCCCAACCCCCTTCGTGTCACGAGACGAAGGACGCTGGAACGCGCGATCTGGCGCACTGCGCGTATGCTGCCGCGCACGCCAGAGGCGCTGCGGTGCGCGGGTGCTGGTCTGGGAACGGCTGGGCTAGTCGTCTGGTGTGGCTCGCTGTTTGAAATACGCTCGTAGAAACTTACTCCTTGAAAAAGTATGCTTTGGTAATTGCAAACTGAATCGGTTTTTTAGTTTACTTTACATGGTGCCGTAAACTTTTCTGGCTAGTTTTACATTTCCCACTGGAACAATTTTGCATTAAACTGTTACAAAGCAGCCTGTAATAAACAGCAGCTCCTTGAATTCAATTCTCACTATTGTCAGTGGCTTGATTCCCTATATAGCCCAGTAAGGAAATTTGGTAGCAAAGAAATTTGACACCAAAACAAAAATACAAAAAAAGAAAGCTTTACGAATAATAGCACGCGTATGTTACTTCTGAAGTCTCTCCAGTTTTTTGTAAAATCTTAAATTGCTCTTCCATTTAGTCATGGTGGATATTATCCAGCAGTCCAACATACTGCAGTTTTGTTGCTTCACAACCAATATCTTCCACCAGCTCAACCTTAGAAAATTCAGTACTTTAGTACTCACTGTTGTGTTTTGTCCTCATTTTACAGATTAAAATATAAGCCCAATTACAGGCTGCCAGATGTAATGCCAGGGTGCTGATCTGGAGCTGGGAAAAAGTAACATTGCCTGCATCTTATCCACAGCTTCAGATAAACAGATGGCAATCCTGGTTCTTAGCCTAGCTTTATTTCTATCTACTACAAGCCACCCTATCCTACTTCAGGCACGTAACCCAGGCACTGCTCCCAGCCTCAGCCACCGCGGTGCGGCGGAGTACCTCGAGCAGTGCGGGGTACAGAGACACTGACCGCGAGAGGGCACGAGCGCTCCATAGCTGTCGGAGCTACGGCGAGAGTTGCCCACCCTGTGAAGAACACCGATGCTGCTGAGAGGCACTTAAGGACGTTTTTGTAACTATGGCCCCTCTAGCAGAGAGAAGAAATACTTCTATAACAGGAATTTCGGGCCAAAAGCGACATCATACCGTGCAGTGCTTAAAGTTCCTGCAAAGTAAGATCTTTCCCACAAATAAAAAGTGATTTTTGGACCAATGTTATAAGACTTACATGAAAGCAGTAAAGAATAACACTAATTTTTGACTAAGAGAAAAGTTAAATAGTATTTTATGCAATTGAAATGGGAAAGAGACCAGCACAATAGAAGGATGTTAGAAAAGGAAAAGTGCTCACCTGTCTCTGAAAATCTCAGCTCACTAGAAAGACTCCACAAGGGGTAGATCTCTAACCAGAGAACCTTCCTTAGTGGCAGTCAGCCCTTAAATGAGGTCTAAGAGAGATGCAGCCATGCTCCACTCCTTCTGGTCACATCGCTGAACTGCCTTCACCTGTGCTTCCAGGGTTGACTGGGTCTTTTCCCCAGGTGCTCAATCAGTGGTTCATACCAAGATCAACAGCTCCGTAGGGCTGCTTTGATCACACCAAGCTTGTATCATGCTGGAATTATTTATGGAGTCACAGAACCATTCCAGGTTGGAAAAGACCTTTGAGACCCACAATGCCAAGCTCAACCCACCCCCACCAATGGTCACTGCCCACACCCCCCAGCGCCACATCCCCATGGTTCTGGGATGACAGAAGGGACGGGTGGTAGGATTCCACCACCTCCATGGGCAGTCTGCGCCAGTCCAACGCCAGTACTTTGGAGACAAAACCTTCTCTAATATCCAATCTGAAAGTTCAGTCAGCGTCTAAGAGTTCTGAAACAAAAATGCAGCTTTAGACAGGGAGAAAAGGAGCTCGGATGTGTCAGAAGAGTGGGTGCCATTGCTTTCTCTCCCCCTGACGCGGAACAAAAAGGGCACGGCAGCCCCACGGCTGTTTCCAGGCTGCCGGAGATACTGTGGGGAATACGAAGGCCTCACTCAGCCCGGGGCCGGCTACGCCTACGGCAAGCGGCTCCCCGACAGGGAAAGCACAAAGAACGCATGCTGCTCCAACCCGGCGGCATCGGCGCAGCGATTCCCGACGACGCCTACCCGCGACTGAAGCCAGAAGCAACCACTCTGCAACTCCTGGGCCGCGGCGGAGGGGTCGGAAGCACCCGAGGGGCTGCGAAGCCCCGCCCTCACCCCGCGCACGGTTGCCGCGGAGACGCCCCGCCCCCATGACGCGCGCAGTGACGCGCGGTTGGTGGAGGCGGGAGCAGGGGGCGGGGCGGCGCGGCCCGCGGGGCGCCGCAGACAGAGAAGAACCGCCCGAGCCGCTGCCGCCCCCTGCGCCCAGCATGGTAATGGCCGAGCCTCGGCGGCCCCCCCCGCTGCTGCCCCGCGGGCCCGGGCCCGTCCGCGTCGGCTTCTACGACATTGAGGGCACGTTGGGCAAGGGTAACTTCGCCGTGGTCAAGCTGGCGCGGCACCGCATCACGCGCAGCGAGGTGAGGCGCGGCCCCACCGCCCCCGCTCCTCTCCCGGGCCTGGGCTGCGGACTGCGAGCTTAGCTGCGGGTAGACGGCGGCCGCGGGTCCGTTTCGGGGTCCGCTGGGGCCGGCAATCTTAGGGCTGGCAACCTTGGGGCCGGGAGGCGGTTAGGGCCGGGAGGAGCGGAGCGGCCGCGCCCCGCCCGTGCCGCTGCCAGGGGCTCGGGTGCTGTCCCCGCCCCGCTCCCGTTGGGTCCGGCTGAGCCCCGCGGTGCTGCGGCCCGTCCCAGCCAGCGTTGAGGCCGCACTGCCCCGCCGGGACGACGACGCGTGCCCCCGCAGCGCCTCCAGCGTTTCGCGGTGCCTTTGTGTAACACCTCCCCCCAGTACGGGTGTTCCCGCGGCCGCCTGCCGGAGCGGAACTATCGCCTGGGACGGGTACCGTGCGCCTCTGGACGGTCCTATGGCGGTTCTGCGGCCCTCCAGGAGCGCTGCCCCCAAGGAGCAGGCGGAGCTCGGGGTCAGGGTCCGTAGGAGCTGCTGTGGTCCTGCGTGGTGAACCGGGCTTTAGAAAACGCCCCACGTGTGGCCTTCAGGTCAACACAACTCTATGCCATGCCCTTGTTGCTGTGTCCATGCCATACATACCAGTGCTGGATCCTCAGCACCAAGTTTCCCTAACTCTTGTTTCCTAAGCTGCCCAGTACTCAGAACATTGATGGTAAATCCCTCAGTGCCACTACTGCTGGGCTGAGCTGGTTTCAGGTTTCACTGCCCACTGGTCTGATGCCATGCCTTCATGTGCTGCACACTCCTTTGCAGGTAACAGTTCTTCCCTTTTGTCTGTCCGACTGCGATGAGAGCAAAACTTTTTGTTTTAATTTTTATTTGTTGTTTTGGAATGTGTGTTTGTTTGCTGTTCAAAATATCAAAGGTTGCAGACAGAGCCTGATGGCTGCTCAACTCTGCTTTGACTTTTTCACCTGTACTCTAAGCAATGGCTGAATTCCTGTGTGTTCCCCTTTGGTACCAGCCTGTCACCCAGCTCTCCCTTCCTAATGAGGTTTGTGTTCCTCTGCAACCACTGTATCCCAAGCAGTCTCTAGGTAGGTTGCTATGTCAGACATACCCAGGCTGTTTCTCGGGACAGCGTGCTGACATGTTGCAGCTGAAGTGCCAGGTGGGCTCTGTGTGCATTTATTGGTCGCTGGTGAAGAGGAATTCTGTTGAGATCACTCTTGAGTATTCCAGAGCAGCTGATTGTGGCCAGTGTTGCTTTGAATGAGCACGTGAGTGCTGCAGGTCTGCACCATGCTCCCTTGGCTTGGTGTGAGCTCACCATGCATGTATGTGCACGTGGGATTGATCCCCGCTGATGGTGACCACCCGTGCTGGAGTGACCTCTTTGTGGCTTCTTGTTTGTGTGTTTGTTGCTGCTGAAGTTAATGCATGTGTTTTCCTGCTACGCTTATTTATCATGTTTCCAAGAAATCCTGTGATCTCAGAGTAACTGTTCTTAGTGAAACATGCAGAATAGATGAGCAGAAATTTTCCTTGGAAGGAGAAGAGACTAAGAAAGGACGAGAAAAGCTGGACAAATCAAGTTTAGGAAGGCATATATTGGCTTGTGATGAAATATGATGGAGATTTGTATGGTAATGTTATGCTTCTGTTTGCTGTTGGGGACAGATGAAGGTACCACCTGGACAGTTCTGTCAATAATCCGCAAAAGAATCAAGTCTCAGTTCAGGTTACAAGAGTAATTCTGTGGGAAACTGAAACGGTTGCCAATAACAACAACAACAAAAAAAACCCTCTGGTTGCGGATCCTGCAGCCACAGACTCTAGATGTTTGATGATTTTAATGCCTCTTATCTACTTTTCAGATGCATTGGGTTAGCTACTCACAGCTGAATCCTTCTAATCTGGGTGACGCCTTACAGTTCAAATGGACAATCTCTACATGAACTTCTTGTGCAGTGTTTGGGTGTGGGTGGTTTTGGAAAGACTGCTCCAAAAATTAAACGGGTAATATAAAAGCAACAGAAACAGAAAGCTGGAGTGATTGAAAGACGGGACTGCTCTCTTCTTTTCCTCTGACAAGCATTTCAGCTTTGCTGCTGACAGTTTCAGTTCCCAGTTCCAGAAGAGGGCTGAGCAGTTCTCTAGCAAAAGAGGGAAGGAGGTTTGTGCTATCCCTAATATTTTTTTAATTAAAAATAAGCAATGTTCCAAAATATCTTTGCAGCTTTCTTAAGTCTTTAAGTAGAAAAAATTGCAAAGGGGGGAAAAAGGGAACAAACAGCAATAAAACTGTGTTTTCTTCTTTTTGTTGGTCACCTTGATGTCTTGAAGTATGTATTCTTTCTTCAGTTGGTTGGGGTTTTCATACCCTTTTTAGGAGGAGTGATGGCCTTTATTTAAGATAGAATAAAACATGAGAATGTGTGTATAATTGTCCCTAATTTGATCTGCCTTAGGGTAGGGAGGCCCTTCAGAGGGATCTAGATAAGCTGGATCACTGGGCTGAGGTGATGAGGTTCAATAAGGCCAAGTGTAGGGTCCTGCACTTTGGCCACAACAGCCCCATGCAGTGTTATAGGTTTGGGAATGAGTTGGGTGGGTGACTGTGAAGAAGAAGGACCTGGGGGTGTTGGTTGATGCCTGGCTGAACAGGAGCTGATAGTGTGCCCAGGTAGCCAAGAGGGCCAACGGCATCCTGGCCTGCATTAGAAATAGTGTGGCCAGTAGGAGCAGGGAGGTGATCACCCTCCTCTACTTAGCACTGGTAAGGCTGCACTGCACCTGGAATATTGTGTTCCATTTTGGGCCCCTCACTATAGGAAAGACATTGAAGCCCTGGAGCGTGTCCAGAGAAGGGCAACAAAACTGGTGAGGGGTCTGGACACAAGTCTTAGGAGGAATGGCTGAGGGAGCTGGGATTGTTCAGTCTGGAGAAGAGGAGGCTCAGGGGAGACCTCACTGCACAGTTCAACCTCCTGAAGGGAGGCTGTGATGAAGAAGAGTTTGGCCTCTTCTCCCAGGCAACAAACAGGACTCAGGGAAATGGCTGCAAGTTGTATCAGAGGAGGTTAAGGTTACACATGAGGAAAAACTTTTTCTCTCAGAGAGTGGTCAGGCACTGGAATGGCTGCCCAGAGAGGTGGTGGAGTTGCCGTCCCTGGCAGTGTTCAAGAGGTGTCTGGATGAGGTGCTGCGAGATATGGTTTAGTAGATTGTGGTAGCAATGGTAATGAGAAGACAGTTGGACTAGATGATCTTATAGGTCATTTCCAACATTGTGATTCTATGATTCTGATTAGGGTCCGTTTGGCTGTGGCAATGACAGAGCACACCAGAGCAATGGGAACTCACCAACAGGTGGAGGTGGTCTCCTTGCATTGTTCTTAGAAGCTCAGTGGTGCTGCAGTCCTCACTAAGTTGCAGGTGGTTGCTGGCAAGCTGCGCAGCCAGAAACAAAACATACTTTTCAGATAGGAAACTTCCTCGTCCTGAAACAGCTCCTCACCTCTAATAATTATTTCCCCTTTTCCTGTCATCATGACATAGCTGAGGACAAAAGTGTTGCTGCTGTTGCTGCTGAATGCTAGCTCCTCCTCATGATGTAGTGAAGGAGTTGCTGGATTTCATGGATTTCCAAGAGGTTCTCCTCTGAGCCACCCAGGGACTTTGTGAGATGCATGGGTATTGAGGGTTCAGAATAGACCAAGCTATCTAATCTGCATTTGACTGCAGAGCACTGGTGCCAGCTGCTGCTGTGCTGCTCTTCACGTGGAAGCCTGCGACTGTATGCGCAGAGACAACCTTAGTACTCAGAGTTGTACAGGATGGTTAATAGTTTTTGTTTTTTTCTTTTTAGTTCAGGCAGTCACATGCTTTTTACTTAGTCTCAAAAAAAGCAACTACTTAATAAGGCCAAATAACTTCACGTTATGAGACAAAATGTGTTAGGGTTTTTAATTAGAACCTATTTAAGCTGGAGATACAGCTTATTCATTATTTTGCCTGACTTCTTGCATCCCAGAAGGTGATCTTGGTTAGTGGAGAAATGTGCTTAGAATTACTTCACGTGTTTGAGAGATGGATCAGAGGTGTTTACATGGCACACCTACACCTCTGTGCATAGACTAGTGATCTTTCGTATCAGACATAGATGTTGAGAATTTGTTTCTTATACAGTAATATATTAGCGAAAAATCTTGAGTAATAGGGATGGCAACGGGCCTGGCCGTATGACCGTCGTATCTTCGCACATGATCAGCCTGAGTTGCTTCCCACTGATGTATGAAGGTGTTTTGAGCAGATCAGCCAGTGACAGCATTTCTGTTTTTCACTTCTGGATAGCAATAGCTGTCAAATATGAGTATTTGGTTTTTAAAATTAAAGGATACATTTATCTGGGTTTTTCTGGGGAAATAGATCCTTCTGTATCTAGGACAACAGTTAAAAGTTGGCTGGCACCCTGTAGAGATGTTGGAAGCTGGGAGCTGCCAAGTTCAGGGCCGTTCTTGGGATATCTATTACCTGCCATTTGTAGGTGCGCTTTGGAGTAGCAACAGCCTGTGTATTTTACTATCAGTAAAAACAGTACTTAAAATTTAAGATCATACTGTGGCAGTGCCAGACTACACTTGAAAATACACCAAGACCCTGTGTACCTACGGATACAGGCTTTTCTCAATAGGATGAGGTGATGTAAGCCAAGCTTTGTTGAAAAAAGTAGCAACAAAGAACCATCCATCTGCAGGATTCCCCATTATGCTTACTTGGAGGGTGGGAAGTATAGGAGAAGGAAGTATAAATATCGGTGTGAATCAAATGATGGGTAGATAAAGGTACAGTGTGAGCCCTAGAGGACAGCCTGTTTTATTTCCTTCAAATTGTCCAAAAGCCCTTTATTACTTTGCAGTCTACTGTTTTATTGATTTTTTTTTTTTCCAAATTATTTTTTTTTCCTCTTCTCTGCTAGACAAAACCTCTTTGCTTTTAAGTTCTGCAGAGATCTGCTTTAATTAGCTTCCTTGCACTGCATGTGTTTCCTATGTGTAAGGAGAGTAAATAGGAGAAAGTTACTGTCTTTCTTTGGTGTGTGCAGTAAGGGAAAGAAGCACTGAAAAGGGACGGGCATGCAGGAGTTCAGTTCTGGATCTTGGGTAAGATTTCTGCATGGAGTGATGTGAGTCAGGGGAGAAGAGAAGCTGCTGTCAATACCTCAAGTTGCTGAGTGTGGTGCTGTGTCAGTCCTCAGTTAGGTTGCCATGTACTTTAAATACTAAGCAGAGCAGCAGGATTTCATTGCACGTCATTTCATTGCACACTGGCATAAGGCAGGAATGCAAGGTAGCTGCAGGTTTGTTGGTTTGTAAATGAGAAAGAGTGGTTTCCATATCTCTTGAATTCAGAGGTCACTCTGTACCAGCTGCTGAGCAGACAGATGAGCAGGAGGAACAAGAAACCATCTCATTTGGGGGATTCCAGAGAGAGCATAAAATAAAGGAGAAGAAGTGGAGAAGTGAGACTTGGGCTTGTTTTTTAATAAATATTTCTCAATTATGCTTAAGAATTTGGTCTGGCTCAAGTGGTTTGCTTTGATTACTTTGTTATTCTGTAGCTATTTAGTGAAGTAGTGAAGGGATTTCTTCCTGGTTTCCGGGAGTAAAAGAAAACTGAGTTTATGAGGTGTGATCTTCTACCAGGTTGTGGAGACTCTGAGCTGTTTGTGTGTGCAGCTCTTAAGCTGCATGAAGAATGCTCACATCCTTTGCTCTGCAGCAGTTTTCCTCCTGCACAGCAGCTGTCTGCTATTGCTCAGCGCTTTGTAAACATGGTCATTGTCAGAAGTTGTCTATGTGATTTACATTGCTTGTTCCCACCTCAGCATTAACGAGACCTTTAGGATGAACAAACACTACTCGGTATTTAATAATCTTCATATTCTAATCCTTTTCATGGTTTTTAGCAGCTATATATTTGTTACTTCTTGATTTTAAGAAAAAATGGTGGTTTTTTTTTTTTTTTTACCTTTTCCTGTTTTAAACTTTTAGTCTCTGAAGCAAGTGCAGTCCTCTGTAACATGTTTTGCAGATACTGGCTAAAAACAAAGCCATCAGGACCAAGATCTGTTCTCTAAACTAATTGGGATCTGTTGGTGAGCTCTGACCTACAGACTCATCTGCTCCGTGGAGCTTGTAATGCTATAATGTAATGGAAAGTACAGTGATAGTAGTGGGGTGGCAAATTCTTTGGCTGCAGCAAATGAGGACAAGCCCAAATGCAGCAGCTGTTTCAGCAACCTGAAACAAACAGGGATGGGGAGAAAAAAAAAAAAGCAGCTTACCTTGAAAGGCCTCAGGTAGGCAAGGATCTCCAGCAAGATACTTTTGCCTCTGCTGCCAACTCTTAAATGAGGTCAGGGAAGGGGTTAATCCTGGTTCCAGTCCTTCCATCACTCAGTGCATTGCATGTACCTGAGCTGCTCGGGGCTGGCCCTGCCTTCCCACCAGGTCTTCAATCACTGTTTCAGGCCGTGACTTAGCATTTCTGCTACAGAGCTTTTTCACTGACTAGATGAATTGCAGACGTCCCTGTAAAACAGCATATTAATCAAACTTTAAATAAGCACCTCACTGTTAGAACTATGTGCAGCCACTATGTCTTGACTCTGTGTAGAGCCAATGCTTTCTCTTTTTCAGTACCATTTTTGCAGGTATGGAGTTGGAATGCTGCTGGCAGAGCATCCTGTGAATTCCCCCATGGCACTATGGCCATGTTTTGGACTGTGCTGCTCTACGTCTAAAGGCTAAAGTGTGGGATATGTGTTTCTGAGCTAGGAGAAAGCTCTCATCTATCTGAGATTTGGTATTTATAACAAGGATAAAAGAGTCAGGGAGAGCTCTAATCTCTCTATTGTTTTTTGGCTGCAGGTGGCAATAAAAATCATTGACAAATCTCAGCTGGATGTTGTGAATCTCGAAAAGATCTACCGTGAGGTGCAGATAATGAAGATGTTGGATCACCCACACATCATAAAGCTCTACCAGGTATGGTAACACTGGCTGTTCAGTTCTCCCTCTTTGCTCCTGTTTGAAGATTTCATTTCCTGCCTATCAGCAGCTCACAATTTCAGCTTTTTGGGAATTAATTTGCATTGATACATGGTGTATGAGAACTGCTGAATCACAGGCTGAACCTCTGATTGATCACCTGAGGCAAGCAATGAGTCAGCCATGGAGCACAGGTGAAGGCACTCCACCTGTGCTGCCGGAAGGGGTGGAGCCTGGCTGCACCTCTCCTAGACCCATATAAGAGCTGGCTAGCCATGGGGAAGGATCTCTTCGGGAGTTCCACTTCATCGGAGTTTCCCATGCGAGCCCAGGATATGGGTACCCATCATTTTTGTTTCCTGCTTTGGTGTAACAACTGCATAGCCAAGCTCTCTGTTATACTGTAACAAGTAATTATATAACTATATAATAAATTAATAATATATATAGAAATATATTAATAATATATAATAAATTATAAGAAATAATTATATAACGAATAATAACTTAATGTGCAACTTCTCCATCAACAGGTGATGGAGACCAAAAACATGCTGTACCTCGTGACAGAATTTGCCAAAAATGGAGAAATTTTTGGTAAGAGAATGTTTTCCATTCCAAATGCCCAGCACTTTACCATTAACTTCTGCACTTAGTTAATTGTATTGATTTTGTTCAGGGCTTTTCTTTTTTTTTCTTTTTTTTTCTTTTTTTTTGTAGTATGTACTCTTTCCCTTATCTGTCTAGAAAAACTCATGACAGCTGGTACTGCTTCGCATTTTAGAACAAATAACTTCAAGAAAAGCTGCTACAATTTGAGTTTCCAACATAAATTTTTGCTCTAAAGGAACTTTGGTTGCTGTGCAGTTGGAATTAATGTGCTCTCAATCTGGATCATATATTGTAGTGTCTCACTTTCCAGATGTGAAGCTGATGGTAAAGTTGAAAAATGAAGAGAGGTGATGTTTTTATTAAAAATCTGCAGGAGGAGAGATTGAATTACTGCACCTTTTCATCAGGTTTATCTAGACTTTGGGCCCCTTCTGGGTAGAAAGATGTTATTCATGGTGCTGGATGGAAGTGTTAATTCAGTATTTAATAGCAAAAATTACATTCCCAGGAATAGTATAAAGGCAAAGCTATGATAGTGAATTACAGTGGTGAGATGGTGGGTTTTGACCTGGAAGCTTGTTTAAACTGGAGAAAAAAAAATCTCTGTTGCACAGGCATAGAGAACACTGTTGACAATGTATGCTGGTCACGAACTGTTACTTTCTGTCTGTGGAGGAAAGTGGGTGAAATCAGAAGAGATTCCTGGAGCAACTCAGATGTCTGAAGCAGTATTAGTGTTCTTCCTGTAGATCTGGAAAAACTGTGTGGCTACTACTATGGAAAGCCAGTCATACTGACCTGTGACACAGACTACATGTAGCATCTTTCTGTAATATGTGAGAGATGGAGTTAATATGTAATGAAAAAAAGATAAGAGATTGACGTACTGGTATGCTGTCATCTGGAGTACTCTGTGTATCACAGGTACTGTTGCTTGGTTTAAGAACTGGACTGAGCTTTGTAAAGGCTGATTTTGTGACTTTATGCTTGACATCCAGGCACCTGGAGTTTTCTCATACACTTTACATTTGCAGTTACAAAATTGGAGTTGCTGAGAAAAAGTTTCACTGACACTCAACAACACTGCCAGGCAGAACAAACTCTGAGGGGCATTAGAATAGAGTTCACCTAATGATTGGCCCTAATGATTGGAGAACAGAAGAGGTGGAGCCTGACTTAATGTAATTTTTTGCACTGTGGGCCATGGGGTGGATTTCATGGACGCAAATCAAATGGTCAAAGTACTTTCTTCTTGTTTGATTTATCATCTTTTTCATCTTGAGGTCCTTATCATAGAACTATCTGTTGTAAGAAAGATAGTATGTTTAGGACAACTTTATGTAACTGGGAAATAGAGAAAATCCAAGGTGGTATTCAATAAAAAGAGAGGGAGAAAAGCAGACAGGAGACTGAAGCCTTGTGAGCTTTTTCTCCTTCCCATCCTAATCTTTCCTTGGGTGCACTGAGTTTGCCTCTCTCGATTAACTGTCAGTTAATCACAGTGCACCTATTCTGAGGGACTCATTCCCTATATTTTTTTCACGAGTGAACTTTATTTTTTCTTTATATTGCAACACAGGGGTAAGAATGTGGAGGGTAAAGCTGATTGTTAATCCTAAAAATAAGCCCACTGTTCAACAAGGTGGGGATGAATATCCTCAGTGCCAGTTGTGATTGCCTCTACTACTGTGGAAGCAGTTCGCTCTTCTTCCTGCTGTCTGACATCCTCACTACATTCACAGTTTTAAATCTGTAAACATAACAAACACCACAGGTGTTCAAGGTGACATTTTGGGTGACTTATGTTTGATTTAACTTCTAACTACTTAAAGGAATTTACTGCTTTTGGCTGAAGTTTAGGTAACATTTAGTTTGATCTTGGCTTTCAGTGTCCTGTAGTGGCTTATAGTTGGCTTTTAGCATGAGACCTCCAAACAAGTGATAAAGACTCATCCGTGTGTAGAGCTCATATCACGTCTCATAGAATCACAGAATCACTCAGGTTGGAAAAGACCTTAGAGATTATTGAGTCCAACCATGACCTAAACATACTACCCCAATTCTAACAACCCTCCACTAAATCATAGAATCACCAAGGTTGGCAAAGATGCACAAGATCACCTAATCCAACCATCCACCCATCACCAGTGGTTCTCACTAAACCATGTCCCTCAATATAACATCCAAACATTCCTTGAACACCTCCAGGGTTGGTGACTCCACCACCTCCCTGGGCAGCCCATTCCAGTGCCTGACCGCTCTTTCAGAGATATTTCCTGACATCCAGCCTGAATCTCCCCTGGCACAGCTTGAAGCCACTCCCCCTAGTCCTATCACCAGTTACACGAGAGAAGAGGCTGACTTCTAGCTCACTACAGTCTCCTTTCAGGCAGTTATAGAGAGTAATAAGGTCTCCCCTGAGCCTTCTCTTGTCCAGACTAAACAATCTCAGCTCCTTCAGCTGCTCCTTTTAAGGCCTGTGCTCCAGACCCCTCACCAGCTTTGTCACCCTTCTTTGAACCTGCTCCAGGGCCTCAATGTCTTTTTTGTAGTGAAGGGCCCAAGACTGGACACAGTACTCAAGGTGCAGCCCCATCAGTGCTGAGTACAGGGGGGTAATTACTTCCCTGTTCCTGCTGGTAACACTTTCTGATGCAAGCCAGGATGCCATTGCCCTTCTTGGCTGCCCGGGCACACTGCTGGCTCACGTTCAGCTGAGCATCAATCAATACCCCAGGTCCATTTCCTCTACACAGTCTTCCTGCTACTCTGCCCCAAGCCTGTAATGTTGCTTGGTGGTGTTGTGGCCAAAATGCAGGACCCGGCATTTGGCCTTGTTGAACTTCATCCCATTGGCTTCAGCCCAGCTCTCCAGCCATTCCAGATCCCTCTGCGGGGCCTCGCTACCCCCAGGCAGATCCACACTTCCAGCCAACTTGGTGTCTTCTGCAAACTTTCTGAGGATGCACTCAATGCTCTCATCCAGGTCATCAATGAAGATATTGAAGAGGACAGGCCCCTGCACCGAGCCCTGGGCAACACCACTCATGATGGGTTGCCAGCTGGATTTAGCTCCATTCACTACCACTCTTTGGGCCTGGCCCTCCAGCCAGTTCCTTACCCAGCCAATAGTGTACCTGTCCAAACCACAGGCTGCCAGCTTCTGCAGGAGAATACTGTAGGAGGCAGTGTCAAAGGCTTTGCTGAAGTCTAAGTAGACTACATCAACAGCTTTTCCCTCATCTGTCAGATAGGTGACGTGTGACAAAGTGACTGTGCCCTAAGTATGTACTTTTCAGATGCTTCTTTCTCTTCTATACCCTGGAAATGTAAAGGAGAGAGTGTCTAAAATATGATTGTGGTATGTTCTATGTCTCCAGGAGAGAAAGCAGCGTATTTCAGGATAGATGACCTATTTCATGCAGGTGACTAGACTTGGTGGAAAATGCAAGGCCAGGAATATTGCTGAATGTGGTTTGGAAGCTTTAAATGAGCCCTAACAGGCTAAAGCTGTGAAAGCAAATGACAGTTTAGATTTGTTAACTAATTTGTTGAATTTCTAACACAGGATGGATTAACAGTTTACAGGGTTGGCTTGTATTCCATGTAACTTAATGTGTATCTGATATCTGACTTTACTTTGATACCATTTGATTTGTCAGGCACTTCGTGACTGAATGATATGCAAATATTATCATCTTCCCTACTGCCAGGAGTTCTATTCTTGTGCTTTGCCAAGTTAAGCCAGCAGACAATGCATTCAGACTCAAACTGGTTAGAAGCTTGGAGGAGAGTGTTCTGTGTGTTTCTGCAAATCCTGGAGATGACATCTAAGGGACTGCCTGGAAATGTTTGAGGGCTGCTGAAATGAGTGCCACTCCTCAGTGATTGGTCACAAAATGTAGAAATTGCATGGCATGGGCAAACATAAGTTCTTCCCCCTTCCCCCCCCCCCGGGGGGTTTTTTTTTTTTCCTCCAGTAAGTCCAGAACTTTGAGGACTGTTTTGTGAATCCTGGAATATAGGGCATCATCTGCCGACAGTGCTGCTGACCCACTGGGCTGTTTGTGACTGCTCCCTGCTGCATTTTATGTTGCACTCTGCAAAACTTTCCAACTTCCTTCTGGTGCTTCCCTTGATAGTGCTATATAATTTCAGGGTATTTACAGCATCATGTAAGCATTTGCAGCAGTACTGTAACCTAGAGCTAATAAAGAAACGTTATACTTCAGAATTGGTGGGTATGCACTACCAATTAGATGAACAGTATTCTCATGTACGTAATTGATGGGGTGATTTCCTGGCCAATAGGCAATGGCTCTATCAAAATCTACTGTTCTTTCTAAAGCGATATCATGAATCAATTCTTTGACATGAATAGTCACTTTTTCACTGTGTTTTTTCTAGTTTATACTGAAAGATGATGTATTTGTAGTATGCTGCAGCCAGTTGCCTTGCACATGAGTCTAAAGATCTGTCAGATTTGGCAAATTTTCCACAGATTACAGAAAGCCTGGCCCTTGTCTTATATTCCTAATGGTTCTTTGTCAGCTTATTCTCGTTCCATGCAGTATCACAAACTAGCAGCTAAGTTGTTAGTTATGTTTTTAAAATTATTTGTCCTTTTTTTTCTGTTCTTTTTTCCTCCTCTGTTTGTGTTTTTTTTTTTAAACTAATGCCAGAAGAATACTTGACAGCACATGTTCTCTCTGTCTAGTGAGCTCACGCAACTTGCAGGATGGAAAAGATTTTCTAGCTATGAAATTTGCCCTTTGATCATAATGTAGGCACTATAACTATCTACTAATGAACTGCCTTTCTTCACCTTTAGCATTCTGTGTGGTCCGTATTTGCACAGTAACTAATAAGGCTGTATTCTGTCTCACTGAGGGTAAGCTGACCTACCACATAAATGAAGTAAAGGATCATAAGTTCATGTAACATTATGTCATTAGGAACTAAAGTACCAACTTATTTTAGGAACATTAGATTATCTAAATTTAAAAGAAAAAAAATTAAAGCAAACGCTTATAATTAATCACATAAGTTCATTGGTCACTGCTTTTTTGTTTTGTCTAACAAAAGTCCTAGCTGTGCTGCAGAAAGTGGCTGGGAGATGGCTGTGTGTACATGCATAGCAGAAATGCTGAGTCATGGCTTAAAACAGTGATTGAGCACCTGTTGGGAAGGCAGGGCCAACCCAGAAAAGCTTAGGTGCATGCAGTGTACCTGAGTGATGGAAGGGGTAGAGCCAGGATGCACCCCTTCCCAGACCTCATTTAAGGGTTGACGGGGAAGCAAAGGGATCTTGTTGGAGATCACTGTGTACCTGAGGCCTTTTGAGGGTAAGCTTTTTCCCTTTGTTTCTGTGTCTGTAGCTGCTGTGCTTGCTTATTCTCATTTGCTGCAGCTTTAGACTTTGCCACCCTGCTTTTATTGCTGTGCTTTCTATCACACTATAGAATCATAACATGCTCTGCCTCTCCTGTGGAATACCTACGTGCATTTCCTGCACCTTGGCCATGAGCTTCATCCTTAATAGGATGTGAAAGGCAATTCTGGAGCCATCTTAATGGTTGATTCCTTGGTTTTTCTGCCATGGAATTGAAAGAATAGAACTGGCTACAGAGGCTACTTTTGTCAAGACTTGCACGGCTGCTGCTTCGCTTGTTTTTGTTCCTGCAGATAAATGATGTCTTCAGTTTCAGAGCTATCATTTGTTTCAGGGCTAACAGTTATACAACATAATCAGACATGAAAATAAAATGTTCTTTCTGCTGTGATGCAATGAAGATGAGTGAGAGGTCAGAATGTGTACTTTATGGGTATTTGCTTTTTTTCTAAAGAAGAAATACATTTAGTCACTGCACAGCATGTGTTGAGGCTTCACAAGAGAGGTGTGAATGTAACAACTTCATAGGAGATCTCACATGAAAATATTTATCAGAATGGACAACCATGAAAGAGCTAAGAGTTGAGTTTAACTAGACAAGAGCTGTTCTTCTCTCCCCTTTTTGGAGGAAAGAAAGCAAGAAACTTGGCTGAAATACGCCTTGAGTTTCTTAGTGCTAAATATCTGAGAGAAATCACTTGTTTTCAGGGTTACTGCTTGGTGTCTAATCTATTTAAATGTCCTTTGTATGAACAGATTACCTCGCCAGCCATGGCCGACTCAGTGAGTCTGAGGCCAGGCGGAAGTTCTGGCAGATCCTCTCAGCAGTGGAGTATTGCCACAACCGGAAGGTTGTGCACCGAGACCTGAAGGCTGAAAATCTTCTGCTTGACAACAACATGAACATCAAAATAGCAGGTATGCAGAATGTAGAGGGTTATTCAAAAACCTTATTTTTAAGGAAAGTGTTTTTTCAGTAATTCAGTTGCTGCTGCCTAAGAAGTCCTGCTGTGCGTAAGTCAAAGAAAATCAGAGTGGTAATACATAGAATACTTTTGCAGTATGGATATCATAGTGCACGTAGCTAAAACAATTCCTAAATTGGCTCTATTATACATTCAGGGAAAAGAAAACCGTTTTTAGAGTAATTTTTTGTGGGTGTCATAACATGTCAGTGATGCTGCCAGATATTCAGGTTAATATTGAGTTAATCAAATAACTTATTTCAATGTCAAAAAACTCAAAATGGAAGCTTATTGATTTTTTTTTTTTCTTTTTGCATGCATGATTTCATTTTAATTATAAATTTAGGTACAGCAGATGTTGCTGGCAGTGAAAATAATTTTGTCAGTTATCAACTCATTACAATTCCATGAATCCTTCCATGTTGACTTTAGCCCAGAAACACTTGAAATGCAAAAGGTAGATAACATCTTGATTTGGAGCACTGTTGAACTTTAGTCATCAATAACACAGGAGCAGGAAAGGAGAACTAACTGCTGGAAGAATGGATCCAAGTTGAAGGAGGGAAGATTTAGGTTGGATGTTAGGGGGAAGTTCTTTACAAGGAGAGTGGTTAGGCCCTGGAACGGGCTGCCCAGGGAGGTTGTGGATGCCCCGTTCTTGGACGTGTTTAAGGCCAGGTTGGACGGGGTCCTGGGCAACCTGATCTGAATGTGTATGTTTGGTGGCCCTGCTAGGCAGGGGGGTTGGAGCTACATGATCCTTGAGGTCCCTTCTAACCCGGGTGATTCTGTGATTCTGTGAAGAAGCTGGTTTGTATTGGCGTAAGCTTGTGAGTTCTGAGAAGGAAGTGTGAATAGACTTTCAATTGGCTGAGGAAGATGCAGTGATAAAACATTGCTGAGTTACGGACCACAGCTAGATGACTTTACTTTTGAATTTCTTCTCTGGCACTTCTGAAATGGCTGAGCTGAAAGTGTATCTGGATATCTAATGTTTTCTGTAAGTATGAGGCTGCAGAAAATTGTTAAATGTGCCAGCAGATCTTAAAACACGTGCTTTTTATTCATGGAGTATGAAGATGGTGTCCTGAAAGATTTTAAAGGAAAAGCTAGTACCTGTTCAATTGGTTAGCATCTGTTGTGAAGATTTGCCTCTCCCTTTGTGATACTGCAGAAGAAATTGGGAAGACTGAGCATCCAGTCTATCTCTGGAGATTAACTTCAGCCTTAGGAAGAATCTTTCAAGTCCTTTCAAGTCAACTTTATCAGAATGAGGAATCAACAGTCTTTTAAAATGAGCACCTCTGAGATCAAAATATTGCTTGAGCAAGAATTTATCCTCTAAACTTAGATAAAAGGAACCCAGTCATGGCTGTCAAAAAACATGTTATCTTTGGATAGAAAATGGGCTGTTTCTAATGGACCGAGAAGGATTTCTTACCAGTGTATGTATTAAGAGGGTAGCTTTCCCAGCTCCTGCATGTGTTTGTTGCTTTTGTGTTGACCTTCATTTTTGTCTGTATGTTAAGTACTTTCCTCTCTCCGTTCCTTTACTACCACCTTCCTGCCTCTAGCATGTTTACAGAGAAGTAAGGAATAAATTAACAAAAATACAGTGATGTCCATTGCAGAACCATGACTTGTATGGATTATTAAGCTATTTATTTATTAGCCACATCTGAGTGTAATGTGTTTTGTTTTGACGTAGAGGATGGTGTGTGTGAAACTGATTCTTTAAAACTGAAGAGCGGAGCCTGATAATCTGGACTTCTTGGCAATCACACACACATACAGAATGGTCCAGGTTGGAAGGGATCTCAAGGATCATGAATCTTCAACTCCCCTGCCACAGGCAGGACCACCAACCTCCACATTTAATACCAGACCAGGTTGCCTAGGGCCTCATCCAACCTGGCCTTGAGCTCCTCTAGGGATGGGACATCCACAACCTCTCTGGGCAGCTGTTCCAGCACCTCATCACTCTTATAAACAAACACTGTTTCATGGATCCTTAGCGTGTCATAGTAGGAATTCTAAAGAACGTTCATAAAGCAGTAGAAATTGTTATTTGTTATGGAGTTTTTACAGCAGCCTCTTTTTTATTTCTTTTGCTTTTCTCTGTTCTCTATTGTAGACTTTTGTACTAGTGTTAAGTTTAAAAAAAAAAAAAGTTACTATCAGATGAAGCAAACCTGTTGTAGCTAGAAGGTGAAGTTCTGATATGAGTTCTTCTTTTGTGCCTTTGATACCTGAAGAAAACTAAGAAAGCATTTTAGGATGGAGATGATGTCTGGACTTTAAACCAAAGTGGCCTAAGTGCAAATAACAAAAAATGTTGAGACTGAACTGGTAGTGGTGTCTCAAAATTTTGAAAATTTTGAGCCAGAGGAGACTGAAGACATCAACTGCTCTGTCATGGGGAGCTTTGATGTCCAAGTCCTCCAGAGAATCAGGAATAAATGAAAACACCAATAAATGGTTGTTCCCAGGTTCCTTCAGCTGCTGCTGTCTCTTTACCTCAGCTGCTCCTATGCTCTATATTACCCGGAAGTTAACTACAGATGATATGTAATGCATGTAAATGATTACATTAACTGGTAGTGATTCACATGGTCTTCTGTGCATCTTCATCAAGCTTTCACAGGATGGATTATGATTCCTGTCTGCAGCTTCGATGATAAAGTAACCAGGGAAAAGTTAAACCTGCCAGAAACTGTGTGATGATTAGTCCTGAGTCGGTTGTTTTGTTTTTCTCTGCAAAGGAAAGAGATGACTAATTCCACAGAATGGCTCATCTGTGATTTTGCAGTTATTTGGTACCACATGGGTCCTTGAGAACAGTCTCTTCCAGTGGTTTGTATTTTTTCATTGTTCGTGTATGAAACTGTGCAAAAAACAAAGAGCAGCCAGGATCCCAACTCTGACAGCTAGAATTACTTTCTAATTAGAATTAATCTAGCAATTTAAAATCACAGCACAGGAACTGATGAATTATTCCAAAAGAAAGTTTTGCAGCATTGGTGTTTGCTTGCCAGCACTGTGTGTGGGGCTGCACCTTGCTGACTGCTCTAAGCAGCTACAAATCCACACTGATGCTCATGGCCATTCTGGGTTTTTCTCAAATGCCATGGGATCTCTTGATCTATTCTGCTGCTCCAAAGTCTTTTACTGAAGCTTTTGCTCTTTAGAATACAACATTCTGCAGTTAAATATAGGAACTTGCATAAAGTCACCTCTGTATTTCAGATATGATTCAGAAGCAAGTGTTTCTAAAACTCTAAGCTGATTGCCACCTCTTCTGCTTAAACAGGGAAACTGACATGAAATGTCATGGCTTTGTGCTAATAATTCTCAAAAAGAAAGAGGATAGACAGAATTCCAAGGACCTTTCTTTTCTATCTTAGATGAGAAGCAGAGGATGCATACAGATCTTGAATTGAGAGCTTTGATACTATTATTTTCTAGAAGATATCTGGGAGTTGGGAGCAAAAACTTCAAACTTAAATTTGAGCATAAATAAAAGAGGTGTTAATCGGATTAAATGTCCAATGAGAAAGTTTCAGCTGAAGGCTGCCAAGCCAGACAGCTCCTCTAAAATTTGTTTCTAGCACTTAGGTTTTTTTTGTTGTTGTTGTTTTTTTCCCAAAGTTATGTGTAGACAGCCAGGTATTTGAGGACCTCTCACATTTTGCTGGTTTCTTAAGAGCTCTCAGTGGCTGGATATCTCATTGTTGGTAAGCTGTGCTGTCATCAGATAAAACTTTTTCATTTTCTATCAGAGATGGCTCTACGAACAGCAATTACAGCATAGAATTGAGGATGAAATAGTGAGGTTCTCCCTGTAGCCTTCCATTCCTACAAAACTGCCAAATTAAGATCGTAGAATGGCCTGGGTTGAAAAGGACCTCAAAGATCATCTAGTTCCAATCCCCCTGCAATGTGGGGGCCAACATTGGGTTGGGGGCCAACCACCAATCCAGGCATCTCAGAGCCACATCCAGGCTGTCCTTGAATGCTTCCAGGGATGGGGCATCCACAACCTCCCTGGGCAACCTGTTCCAGTGTGTCAGCACCCCTCAGTGAAAAACTTCCTTCTAATTTCTAACCTAAGTCTCGCTGTCTTAGTTTAAAAACATTCCACCTCGTCATATCACTATCAACCCATGTAAGCAGTTGTTCCCGCTCCTGTTTGTGCACATCGTACTGGAAGGCTATGTGCTTTATAAACGCATCTGCAGAACTTGTGCATTTGGATGGTAAAGCTGCTGTATTCAAACTAGATCAGGTAGGAGAGACTGTTATTTTGAAGTAGGCTGTAGCGCTGGCTTGTCTTGCTGGTGGACTGTAAAATATGCATTGACGTCAGAATGGCTGATGCACATTCAGTGCATGAAGTGGGTCAGGTTTGTTTCTAACATGCTCATACCTTTCCTTTATCAGCACCCCTCTCATCTTGATATCCTTTGCTCACATTACGATGTTATAACAGAAGACCCATGTGGCTCTATAACGCCAGGCAAGCTGTGTTATTTTTGTAATTTTAGAAGACTGGATTAATTGTAGCTCTGAGGCTGGTATCCCTTCTACATGATCTGTAGTGGTATAAATTAGAGACCACCTCATATTGCTAGATGCACAGCAGAAGTAGCAGTGGCTCTGGCAGGGAGCTTCTATTTCTCAAATTGCAAACTGGTCTGAAATCTTACTCTGTTTCCATTTTTAACAGGAAAAGAGTTTCCATTTCTGTGTGCAAAAAAAACTATACCTTTTAAATTAAATATTATTCTGAGGACAGTAATGAAATCAAGAAACTAAATGCCCCAAATGTTGGGAGCCAGTATTTTCAGGTGGCACAGAGAGAGTTTATTCACACAGTTTATTCAGCTGAACACAATGCTGTAAATGGTTGTTGTTTTTTCTTTTTAATATGCACATTTGGGAAAATGTTAAAAA